GGAAAAAAATGGTGTGGCGGGGAACCAAAGCAAAAGTTTTCACCGAATGTGGGGATCGAACCCACGACCACACGATTAAGAGTCGTGCGCTCTACCGACTGAGCTAATTCGGCCAATTTGATTGGTCTTCATCCTCCAAATTTAGCTTTCTTAAACACGGATTTCCTAACTCTGACACCTGCTGACAGTTGACCACACTCGTATACCGGTATTGAACATGTGCTCGAGGAACAATGAGGAGTCTTGAAGGCGAGATCTTGTGCAACCACTCTTATTGCAAGGTCATGAGAAGTGAGTACTTATTAGGGGATGGCAAGCGCAAACTATGTTGCAACAACCAAGAATACTATCAGATTGTCAAATTGAGTTGTACCACAGTGAATCTAGCCAGAGTGGACACAATGACGTATACAAGGGCATTGCAAGACTAGATACAGGACCATTTGTGGCTGGAAAGCCAGCGGGCTGTTGGTTCAACGATACAAACGTTTTCATCGTTTACAGCCTCCATTCCCAGTGAAACCAAATAATCCAACACTGTTTATTTCATCATCACCAATCAATCATCCTTGGCTGTGCAACGAACAAATATATGCGGATTTCCTCCTACATCAATGCTCAAAGTGGGAAGAGAAGATGATGATGCGGTTGAAGGAAGCAATTGTACTTGAAGAAATTGGGAGCTGAAGCAAAATTGAAAACACAAGACATCATTTGCACCAGTGAAATATACAAATGTTTGGTCTTTACTCGGCTTGACAAAACTGAAACTGCTGTGAAAGGTGACTGAATCGTATCTACAGAATAGGTAAGAAGCAGATTTGGATCTATTGTGCATGAAACTCCGATGAATTGACTGATCGGAACTCCGCTGAATTGAAACTAAAGCTTCCGGAACTTCTTCCCCTTGACCTGGCGGTCTTAAAGCTGAAGTCTCTTTGTTCTTGTTCCTGTTGGAATCTCCCTAGAAGTAAAATCTATTGGTCTTGCAATTGTGAGCTAAAAATCATTACTCTACTTTCTATTTGTGCTTCCCAGTCATACACAGCATGTGGTATCTTGCTATGACTGCATTCAACTCACTTCTCCTAATGTGTTTATCTTGCTTTGGTCTTGTCAATACTTCTTACATAATTGTCAGGCATTGTTCAATCTTACGTAATAGCTCCTTTCTAATGCCTTGTTATGTGTCCCTGATCTTCATTCTTCATTCTCCAAATATCTCAAAATACATCTTCAACATGTTCCTATTCTTTGCTGAAATGTCTCCAATCAACTGTTCGAAGCGTCTCAAGGTCTTTTGGTGAATATCGTGAGCGACTGCTCAATGATGCATTTGCCGACTCGAGTGGTGAGGACCCCTCCATGACTTCCGCTTAATCGATAGCTAAACGTGTGACCTTGCCCCTTGCACCCCATTCCCCATACAAAAGGATTGCTTGCGTAATGTAATACTTGCACCAGTCAGTCACTGCCATCCTGTGAAAGAAACATTTTGGCTGCTCGTTTGCACATGTACGCCTCGTGGTGAGCCAACCCAAGCCGCGCACACGCTTTGATTGACTTATCATAGCTCTCCTTGGAAGGGTGTTGCTCTGCTTCCAACATTGCTATGATAGGAAACGCATTCATGGACCCATACTTCATATCTTTTGTGAAGGATTTGAGCACTTTCTTTCCTTGTACAGATCAGATTCGCAAGCCATTGTATAATAGGATAGTCATGCATTGCAGTGGGAAATCATCCTTAGACAGGGCACGGCCGAGTAAGCAATAATCATGTCTGCTAACTGTATTGCAGCGTTTGTATAGACCACAAGAGCAGCAGAATCAATTTTAGCCTTTGAAATGATTACAGTCCTGGTAATAGACGCCGGCCAATGAGAAAGTAATAAGATGATAAATGAATAAGATAATTAGTTTGTTAATGTATAGAATAGGTCAGAGATACATACCTGGTTCTTTTAAAAGTGGGCCGTCTTCCTGAACATGGTATGGAAGTGGAGGAAGGGAAATGCTCTTTGAAATGAAAGGTTTGGGTATCAGTATCTTTGGATAATACAGGGTAATATGTGTTCTAGCTGTTGGTTTCTGTCCCAAGAGCATGCTCCGATACCACCGCCAGGGCAGCTCTTGCGTCAACAATGTCAACTGAGAGTTGTCAAAACATCTGTTCTACACAGGATTCTGCCCAAGTTGCCTACAGTGAGGATACAAAATTCTTTTAATTCTTGAGCAAAAGCCTTTCCAGGTATCTGCTATTGCAGTTGTATGTAGACTCAGCAGAACTATTGACTTTGTGAAATGGCTTTGGGCCCCGGTCTTCCCCTTTCAGCGAGGAGGCATTGTCAGATTCCACAGCACAATTGTCCGCTTGGTCCCCATTTGGTACATGCATGTAATGTCTAAATGACAACTGACCCGATATAGGGTAGAAGCTTTCTTTGAGAAAGATCCTGCTTTGATTAGTTACACTGGGAGATATGCCATTTTTAAAGCCTGGGAAACATAATCATCAACGGCTTCAATGGACGCTTTTCCCTATGCTGCCGTTTCAACTGAGTCGGTGAAAGAGTACATCCAATCACCGGCTGTATCAACACACTCTTGGTCCTGAGGTGTCTTGGTAGTGACTTGTGTGGTATACTTACAATTGACCTGTTGGGCGCTTCTGTTGATCACACAAGGTCTGACACACCTTGTGCCATTTGCACAAGCGGATCTTGGAATGGGGGTATTTCTCTTTGTGGCATGTATAGAATGTACCGATGCAAAGCAAGTCTTCATCAGTTGTGAAGAGACCTAGCTTCCTCAGATTTTTGGTAAAAAGAAGGGTGGGCATGCTGACATCATTGAAGAGCCAGTGGAAGACCCACTGGCAGGGAGACAGAAGGAAGGCTGCCAATAGGGGGATATTTTTCTGGATTTGGAGCAACCAATCAAATGAAACATGCCCCATTTCTCAGCATTGGTTCCAAATGTCACATCCATTGATTGCAAGATATTCAGGCAACATCTCATACAGTCTTACATTTGTTAGTGGTTGAGCAATGTCGGGAAGCATTGGTTGTACTACCTTTGCAGCTGGTCACTAACCCAAGCGGCTGCAACAACAACTTTCCTATTAGTTTCCAGTGTCATGCCATCCACAAGTGCCTTGAGTGCCTGAGTCTGATACTAATGGGCGTCAGGTTTGCTAATTCCTTCTTTGTTTTCATGTGGATGCAAAGGTACCATTCACCTTCTTGCTTTGTGGCAGTGTAATAAACATATTACAGCAGTCCATCAGCGTCTTTGAAAGCTTATTGCCATTTGGATAAAGTGCAGAGCCAAGGACATCTGCACAAAATCGTGTCAATATTTTGGTAGGAACCTGATGCCCTGTTATTGTCTCAATCAGCCATTGGGCAACCTTAGTCAAACCATGGTCTTTGAAAACATGCGTAAGATATTGCTGAAGAGCAGATGAGATGTGTTTGCGGGACCTTCGCATGGCTTGCAGGTCATGTGGATGATAGGTATGTTGGAAAATATGACCAGTGTCCAGTCGAAGGTACCAACGTTCAGTATCCATTTGAAGGTAAACAGTTATTTGGAAAGGACACATTTCTTCCTTTTTCTGTGCACGACCTGTATTGGTTTTGCGTTTGCCTTTCTTTGGTTTCTTGAAAATGAGCAAAGAAAAGAGATGTGTGAGTGAGTTATGGTTGTTCAATCTCAAAGCAGAAGAATGGAGCATTATGGGCACTTACTGATCTAGCATGTATACCATATGGGCAACAGCAAACCCACCTTCAAGATTTGTTGGACTGCGGGTTTTTGCAGCCAGTTCTGATGACACAGCATCCTGGAGGAGAGGCGTTCAACAGATCAGTAGAGTCTGATCTCGAAGTTTCCCCTTTAATATTTGGAGGAAACCACAAGATATCCTCATTTGTAAAACATACAATAGATTGGGCATCAAACAAGAATGTTTTTATGAGAATGGAAGATAGGCTATGTTTTGTGTTTGGTCCATCGCTGCGACTTTCGACTTCATGTACAAGATCAATAGAGTCTGCTTCAGCCTCTGTCTGATCAAGGTGTCTGCATAGTTTGAGCTGAAATGACTCTACAGACCAGAAAATGTTCTGTTCATATAGTTTCATGAGGCTGTTAAAGTCCATTGTCGGAATAACAGAAAGATGAATGTTGAATTCACACCACCCTGGAAATGGCACGTGCCAAAAAACGCGAGCTACAGTAGCGCGTTGTCCAGGTGAGGGGAGAGAAGTTGGGGAAGACGAGGTGGACTATTGGGGGTTGATCGTAGTGGGGGAGGTGGACGGAGCGAAGAACAAAGTGACTATTGAACGAGCGCGGTGCGCGCAGCAGAGATCCCGCAGCAAGTCCTCAACAACAGCGATCGCATATTCTTGTCTTTTCTCCTTCCTAACGCATCAGGATCGAAGTTGTAAGACGTGTCAACGTTGACTAGGCATAGAATAGAAAAAGTTTCAAGTAATCATGGCCGCGGCAACAGCACCAACGGCGCCGACTGTGGCAGCGCCAACAGCACCCGCAGCTGCACCAGCAGCACCAACACCACAGCTGACCGCTTACCATGAATTTTTCGGCAAC